TTTTAGCAATAAATGAATGCAACCACGTGTGTAACTTCCGCGGATGAGCGCCACTGTCCTTACATGGGCTCAACCTTTCTGTATAGTTTCCATTTGCATTGTGTCTATGGACGATAAGCTCACTCAGAAAATATTCATTGAAATTCGAACCGCCTGCTGGTTAAGTCCGTCCAAACCGCGAATCGGGTCGACACGACCTCACTTCCGAACCGGTTCATACTGTGCTTTAATCTCTTTCTCTCTATGGACGAACCTCCGGCTCCAGCGTCACAAAGTGAAAGTTTTGCTGATAGCTTTTTGTCATCGGTTGTGAGACCATCAATCATCGCACTGGGACCCCATTGAACTGCGCTAACGTGCTCGTTTTCGCCCTTGAATTTGGACTCTTGCTCGGGCTCATTTCTCTCTCTTTGCAGGGTCAACCTGGTGATTTGTCGGCGAATTTTGCGGGTTCCACGGACAAAACCGCATAATCGCCGGTTGCTTCTTCATATAGATAACCTTTACTTTTGGGCACCCTATTGCATGCTATGCTATAATTTATTCCTGTTGTTCCGATAGTCCTCTTCCCTTCGCCCCTCTCTCATTCTCTCCAGCTCACCCAGCGCGAAATGGAGGCTGATTTTTCAATTTTGGCCATCTTGCACAACGACCCCGTCGAATGGTGCAATGGGCTATTTGCACTTGGGCGCTGAGTTTCCTATTGCACTCTTTGGATTTATTCGATTCCTTATGGGGTTCCTTCCAAGGCCTCAATTCCTATTTCTCTTTTATAGCCCCTCCTTATTATACTCTCCTGAAATCGTTCAGAATTCACCTATCTATCGCATAGAAAAATGGTCAGAACGCAAGTAGAAGGCATACTGTAGATTACTCATTACTCAAAGCTGCTGGTCCACCATTTTGGAGTGCGCCACATATTCCCCTTCCGTGAAATACTGTAGATTCATTTAGACGCCTAGCTCGCCTGTACAATGAGAAGGATCAACTAATAATCAGTGGATACCTATCGGATAGCGCACTAGCCCCGAAAACGTGAGGTGCGAGTTGGATTCCCGCCGGGGTCAAGGTTTTTGCTTTTAACGAGCATCCTAGGGATAACTTTCAAGAGGATCTAAAATCTATTACCGGAAGACGAACCAGCTTGGACACGAAGCTGTCTGTGGCGCTTACCGTACTAGTGAGCCATCACGGAATGGGGTCAATTAGCACCTTCCCCCTCCCCTGACTTAGCGTTCTCGTGATAACTTTCGCATCGTTTACAGTAACAATAAACAGCCGTTATCATAATGGAGCAAGTTTTGCATGTTATTTATGTGTCTGTTATTACTTTCGACCCTGGATAGATGGCGTGGGAGGGGCGGAGGTCAGTCGAGACGACTTCCGATCTGGGGAATGCATTGCGACATTTTGATGTTGCGCTAATGGAGGGTTATCCGCTTTCAGTGGTTGGGACTGTGGCTTTTGCACCTGGGCTCAACTCTTTCTTTGGGAGCTGTGTGCGTTAAGGGCGGTCCTGTTTCGAAGGGCCGGTCTCTGAGCGTTACCCCCTCCCCCTCCCCACTGTACAACATCTAGCTATTCATATGCATTTTGAAGACGAAGATGAGCTCTTGAAAACCCTGAACCTTCTTTACCCCTCTGGACCCTTACCCGTAGAAAACCCTTGAAAGGCCTGAATTAAGGTCAATTTTTAACACTGGACATAAAAATACTGATGTTCCGGAAAATAGGCAGTATCTGGGGCTGAAGCCAGCCTCTCCCTCAGGTCTCACGTCGTCCAACGTCTTGTAAGAATCTGCCGATTCTCCCTCGTAGCCACCTGCCCTCCCCCCCCGCCTCCCTCTCCCATTCACCTTCTCCCTCTTCCCTTAGTTCCG